CTTTTAAACAGCTATTAAACTAAAATTTAAAAAATTATGACCAAAACTATAAAAACAATGAAATCAAAATAATATTAATTTAATATGGTTGTAAATACTTATGGATTCCTAATGCTGACTTCAATTGGTTTATTACTAGCTTTTAAACAGCTATTAAACTAAAATTTAAAAAATTATGACCAAAACTATAAAAACAATGAGATCAAAATAATATTAATTTAATATGGTTGTGATATTTTGATAGTAGGTTTTATAGTAGTAGGTTTTAATAGTAGAAGGCTATTGCCTTAGGTTTAGAGGCACATTAAATATTACTGTATTTTGAGTTCATTAATGACAGTGTAGAGGAAGCTATTTTGTATACATACGTCATATCTCATGCTGCTGCTGGCTTTGCACTTTTTTTGATTGTTCGTCGTAATTAGACCTCATGCTTAATCACAATTATTTTTGAGCAGTCCTCCAATGCTAATTTTAATGAGGTATCATTGATAATTCTCCAAAGCTCTCTTTTTATGTGAAGATAAAGTTGACATTGGAGCATTATTGAAATCTGTTCTCTTTGGTTGTAAATATTATTCAGTTATTGTTGAAGTGTGTTTTTACTTTATATTCTCTGCTAATGAATTGTTCTACAAGTTAGGACTTACAAAGATGGAATCCACATGATATATTTGCTGTTGCTATGAACTGGGTATTTTTTGCCTGTGTCATAAGTTATTTTTAACTTGATCTACCTTTGCTACTGGGTGCCTTGTGATGACTCAGTTTCCCACTAATTTCTCAATATTCAATACTTCAAATTCATTCTTTGTGTTGGCCACTTGATGTGTTTGTAGAAATAAATCCTAATACAAGTGCAACCAAAGCAGTCGTAGTAGTCAGCTATATGAAGGTCATCCAGATGACCCAAATGAAAATCTTTTAATAATTCTTACAGAACTCTAAGAATATGTTCAAAGTTCCTAGTATGAGAAACATTGATGTAATCCTGATTTTACAATGAATAAACCAAAGCCAGAGATGCTGTTTTATGCTCAAGATCACCTAGCTAATTAGAGGCAAGACGAGTGTAGAACAAGGTTGTTAGATTTGCAGTGCTCTGTCTGCTTTGTCACGTTGTTGTACATTTGTAAAATACTTTCAGTATATCATATTATTACATGTGACTTTTTACTTTCCTTCTAGACGCATGTATGCATCCAACAAACCGCTCTGGAGCTAGTTGGCCGAGGAATTGAGGTTCATATTGTTGCTGATGCCACCTCATCAAGAAGCATGATGGACAGGATGTTTGCTCTTGAGGTAATTGTCCTACTTGCAAGTAAATCATTTATCAAGTTTTCCAAGTAAATTAGGAGAGTATTGAATATTTAACAATAATGAAAGATTTACCTCTTAAATTTGAGCTTGGTCTGACAACGTCAGATTCATTGATTTCCAGAGACTTGGTGGCACAGACTGACCTTTAAGGTCTCACCACCACGTAGTATTTTATATCTCATCTCCTCCTCAGATCTAGCTTGCTGTGATGCCAAAAGCTCTTTTACATCTTTTGTTGTATACATAGACTAAGAGATATTCCAAGAAGCCTAACCTGAACTGTTTAGAGATTTGCAAATTAAAAACAGCTCATCTGGGTTTAACTCAGCCAAGATCTGTACAAAAAATTGGGGAGAGTGGGCCTAACCCTTATATTAGGTTTCCTCAGACTCCAATATCTGAAACTAGAAGATGTGTCACCAGCTGTGGACTCCAGTCACCTACAGTGTTTCCTGGCTCTCTGGCACTAGCTCGTCATGCTGTTGCATAGTCAGGGAGTCAGTGATTCTCCGTCAACATTGCCTAACAGTAGTCTTGTTTAAACATTTTCTATTACAGGACTGTTGAAAAGCAAACTACTGCATGATCCTGGGAAACATTCACTTCATATTGTAGATTTCTCTCTTTCATATTTAATTCTAATTCTGTAATAATTTTAGAGTAATGTACATTTGGATTTAATTGCTGAGTTCTCTATTTTTATTGTGAATGGGAAATATAGATTTTTTTTTTTTTTTTTTTTAGATCTTGCAGTGTTCTGTGTACAAGCTGGCCTTACAAACTGCTTTCTCTGGAGGATTGCTAAATTATCTCTTTAGCCTAAAGTGTTCTCCAGGGTGGTAAGGTAGTGCAAACAAGAAAGGGGAAGGGCTAGTCAGGGGAAAGAAAGGAGAAGAGCAAAGGGCAGTGGGGAGGGCCCTCGCAGAAGCAGGCAGGGAGCTGGCGACGGCATTGTTCTCAGACCAGGGTTGGTCATCCAGTCTCTTGTTCCTGAGGCAGTGAGTCCTATCTTGCAATTTACTCATGGAAATAGTTTTGTTTATTTTGTTAAACTATTTTCTAGCCCATTTGGATGGTCTAGTTCTATTGGCTTCTCTGGTAGTTAGGCACTAAGTGTTGTTTCTTTCAGTCTTAGCAAAGATCTTTAAGCAGATTCTTAAATGAATTAATGAATTAATCAACTTCCACTTTTCAAGTTTCTTTAGTAACCTGAGTTGAAACACTTCCACTGTCAGGTCCTCATCACCTCAGCAAGCAGTTCTTTTCATCTGTGGATAAACCTTTATGGTAATGATGAGGTCCAGAACTTAAGTATTTTCAAGGAAGTAAAAAAACTAAAAATATACAAACAACAAAACTTTTCTTGCTTGTAAAGATATTTCAAGGATTTTTCTCCTACATTCATAAAAATTCTTAGACATGTCTTTGTTATAGCCTTTATCACAGAGAATTTTGATTGGTGGCAATTCTGTCTTCCCATAAAACTCAGACTAAAAACACAGTCAGCTGATTACCATCTGAGGGTCAGTGTTTGAGAGGCAGTCTGCACTCTCAGTGATTAGGAGTCTACACAACCGGGGGAGTGACGGTAATGTGGGTTTGAGTGTGGGTTCTGGTGTTTCATGAGTTTGTCCTTGAGCAATTTATGTAACTTTGATGCCTCAGATTTCTCTTGATGAAATAATAATAGCAACTACATCATAGGATTTTTGTGAGAATTAAATGAGATAATGTAGTGATAGCAGTTAGTACAGTGCCTGACGCCGTAAATGCTCAAGTGTTCTCTGCTGCCTTTTGTTATTATTATTATTTGTTTTTGTCTTCATGAGATTAGTCTTACCAGAAATGTATAAACATATAACCTCCAAGACCCAGAAGGGACTAGTCTGGAGAAGTTGTGAGAAGGGGTGGAAAGAACCTACGGTCTGGGGTGGGTGGAAGGGCCTGGAGCAGCCGGTGTTGCCTGGGTTTGAAGTGTTGAGATTGAAAGGGAAAAACATCGTAGATCAGTCAGGTGGTGAATCTGGTCAGGTGGAAAGACTTGCCATATGCCAGGTTTTTTTCTCTTAGTCTTAATTTGCTAATGGAGGTGATTTAGTTTGTCCCTCTATTTTGGGGAGAAATGTTTTCTCTTTTTAAACTATGTCTGTAAAATTTCAAATAGCAATGTAGCCAGTTCCCTTTCTTCTCTGTTCCTTTAGAACGTAACTACTTAAAGATAATTCCAAAGACTATCCATATTGCCTATTATTATACAATAAGATTTATAGTTCACATTACTGAAACTACATTGTGCCGGGGTCTGTAGTAAATGCTTTATTCAATAATGTTTTCTGAGCACCTATCATCTGTCAGATATTGTTTCCTTCAATTAATAATGGTACAGTAAATGCAGAGTAAACTAGAACAAAACCTTCTCTTGAAGTTGATGTTTTTGTACTTTTGGGGTTTTAGTGTGGCTTGGAAATTTAATGGGTTTAATCCCTCCCACCCCCACCCCTCAGAGGCTTTTGTGACTTTGTGCTCTTGCATTTTTAGGTTTGTAGGTCACAGCAACCTTTCTTTTCCTTTGGCCTAGTTGGACTGGATTTGCAAGTGAAAGGGAAGAACTTCAGAAGCTTATTAAGACATGAACCTGAGTGCATTGAACAGCCAGAGTTTTAATTGCCCCTTTTTAAACCAGGAGAGAAATGGGCTTGGTATCAGTATTTAGGTGTCCTCATAGCTCAGGGTGGTGGGCAGGAACCTGCCAGGTATATGCCTGGCAATGATGCTTCTGTTCTCTCTCTGCTTAGGCACCGTTTCCAGCTAGAGCCGGGCAGGGCAGGCATGGGGATGGTCTACAAGCCAGATCTAAACACTTTGCATTTTGTTAAAACGCCTTCCCCAACACCCACTCTGGGCTAGGTTATGCTTAAACCCAATCAGTATTGCCCACATGTCAATCTTGAAGCTAGGTAATATTGTATAGGCCTCAGCTTAGTAAAATGTATTTCTGAATGTAAGCGTCCCCACCTGCCCCTTCTGTGGTGGCCTCTTAGCATTGGGGTAGAATGGACCGGTGCTGGTCAGAAGAACACTAGGGAAAACTGGCCATTGTAGACAGGCTTCTTCCTGGATCACCATATTTCTTCCTTTGACCTGCGAATAGTTTTCTGTCCTTCATGCCTTACCAAGGAACTAGAAAGATTAGTGACAACTGACCCTTGTTGGGTCAAAGCACTTTCACAGACACTGAAAGTCTGTGATTCAAATTCAGACTGAATCATTGAAAGACCGTTGATTCCACAGTGAGCAGTAGGGAAGGCAGGGCAGAGTGGGCAGCTGGTAAGGGCAGGAGCTGGGCTTGAATGACAGGACGTGCAGTGCAGTTTTCACACACTGGACTGCAGCCAGTCTTGTATCTGTTCCCTGTCCTTCTGTCTGAAGTGAGCACATGATCTTTTGACATTTTCAGAGTGTTTTGATGTGATGGTCAGTTGACTAAAAAGCAAGGAGGAGGAAATTAGTTTCCAAAAGTCTTTTAAACAAAAAAAAACCTCAGAGGTAAGTGCACCCCTGGTCTGTGTCCAAACATAAAGGACACTAACAGCCTTGCTCCCCCGCCCCTGTCTACATAACGTCCTGCTGTGTTTTCATTTCTTGAGAGCCCTGGTCAGCTGCTCTGCACCCTTTTCTGTACTGGTTGTTGAGGTCCATGCTTGCTTTCTGATGAATAGGTTATGGCTCACACTCCCTCTACCTCCTGAGGGATGCAAAGGAAGAGTCTGCCAGTGGAAAGGCTGGGTCTGCGGATGTACAGCCAGCTAAAGGAACATTTACTTCTGTCCCACAGGCTACTCAAGTGCCTCTTGGGTCTTTTGCTCCGACTTGCCTAGAAGTTGTTTCTAACCACTTCCTCTTCTGTGGCTCTTACAGTGGATGCTTTTTGTGTTAACAGTTTTCCCATTTTTTTCCCCCAAGGTTTCCGATGACAAATATATCCAGAGAATGAATCTCTGCTGTAGAATTCTCTTCTCTTCTTCCTTCTGTCCTTCTCTCTTTTTCTCTCACTTTCTGTTCTTTGTCTTCCTCCCTCCCTTCATTCTCCTTTCCCTACTCCTCCGTCTCTTGCGTCCCCTCCTTCAGATTTCTGTCTTTAGTTATTGCGATTCCACTGAAGCATTTGGCCGGGACATTCTTTGACCTGTCAGTGAAACTTTGCACAACCTTAAATTTTATAATCTTATTTAGAGATTCTAAAAAGTTCATGATTTGGCAGTGGTGGTGGCTTCTCAGGGGGCATATTCTTAAACCTCACACATGACACTTTTCTCTACCGTCAGCCACTTCTAGACAGCAGAACTTTTGTGGGAAGGACTCACATGTTATATGTCAGATGTTTGGGGGCAGAAGAAAAAAGTGAAGAATCATCGTTTTAATTCTTCTAGTAGTTTTAATGCAATTAAAAACTTTAGTTATGTGAAATTGGACAATAAAATAGTAGTGAAATATTGTAGATAGCTACAATTATATCCATTGCATAGATAATGGAGCTTTAGAAGTACCCCCCCCCATTTAAAAAAAAATAACTAGCTATTAAATGCCAGAAATGCCAGGGATGTGTGTGTGTGTGTGTACACATATCAGTGTACATCATGATCTCATATATTATCTCAGTTAAACTACAGAGGGGGAAATGTGGACAAAGTCACCTTTTTTGATCTCAATAGTAGAAATAGAAATAAAAGACTAATACATTTAGGAGTGAGTCAAAAGCCCTCATTTGAGTGAATGAATAGAGATGAAGCACAAATCTCCAAGTAGGAAACAGCGGCAATTAAAAGTGTCCAAACATTTAGTGATGGAATACAGTTTATACCTTTCCTTTCTCTCTCATCTCATGTTTTACAATCTTTAGCCTTGATTACCCTCCAGTCCCTGGCAAATGTAGGTCATGACATTGGCTATCTGTTTTCTTTTACTTGTTTCTAGACCATTTTACTAATACTGAGAATAATCATGAGTTTGTGGTATGGCTAGTTTTGAAATCTATCTGCTTCACCAAATCTGACGGTATGACCGAGGACCATGATTTTAGTAAAGGACACTAATTGTGTTCCAGCATATGTTTGTTGTTTTAAAATAGTGTTCATTCTTATGCTTACTTCTTGATTTGTCTTTATCTTTTTCTTTTTAAGCGTCTTGCTCGAACTGGGATTATAGTGACCACGAGTGAGGCTATTCTGCTACAGCTGGTGGCTGATAAAGACCATCCAAAATTCAAAGAAATTCAGAATCTTATTAAGGCAAGTGCCCCAGAGTCGGGTCTGCTTTCCAAAGTATAGGACATTTGAAGGACTGATATGCTGCTCACCATGAGGGACAGGACTGTAAGCCCAGACAAGCTCTCGTCTCTGTTAGAAATAAAATGTTAAGTCAAAAACGGCTCCTTTTTTGCGTTTCTTAGTAAAACTTACCTGGCTAGACCATTGGGGTACCAGTGTTTAGTTACAAATGTCAAAGCCTTCAGGTGCTGCTTACCTTTTTTCGTTAACGTGCTTTTATTTATTAAAAATAAATTACAATGGAGGTGCCTGTTTTGTCTCTACTGTATACACCGATCTTAACTTTCAAAGTGCTCACTTGTGAAGTTTTCTTAAGTTGTGCACTTAAAAAATGTGTACCAGTGATTTGACTTTTATATTATCATAAGATATATGTTATAATGTTAATGTGGATTCAGTGCTTTTACTTTACAGGTTGATTGAAATAGAATTATTATATGTGAATTTAAAAACAGGACTCTGGGTCATGATACCCCCTTCCCATTGATGTTGTTGACTGACTTATTGGGTGAGTTGCATTGATGTAACCAGACCAAATTATGTTGAATAATTATATATCTTTTTTTGCTTTTAAAAGATGACCAGTAAGGGGATCTAAACCCTTGACTTGGTGTTGTCAGCACCACGCTCCCCCAAGTGAGCTAACCAGCTGTATAGGGATCTGAACCTGTGGCTTTGGTGTTATCAGCACCGCACTCTCCCAAGTGAGCCACGGGCCGGCCCCATATCTTTCTTAATTATACTGATTTCTTATTCTGGTCACCATCATCACTTATTTTCTGTTTGGCTTCTTAGCTGAATCTTTTACCTAGAAAGACTCAGTAGGTCATTGCTTATTTTAATTTTGTAAACAGATGGAAAGATTTGCAATACCATATAATTGGCGGAGGCCTGTCTTAACGTCTTTAAAGTATGACTTTAACTGAATATCTTTACAATCATCTTGAATACATCTTCTTGTATGTAAGAGATTTAGCAAAAGAAAGGCTGGGTAAAATATAGTTATAAAATGCTCATGTTCTGTTTCATATTTTCTCTACCTATGCTCCAAATACTGTTAATGAAAAAAGCATCAGTAATGATTTGGTAGTAGTAATTTTGTGGTCATTGTTACCCTTCAATAAATTAATTTTCATTAAGTACTTACTAGAGGGTTTAAAAACTTTTAAAAAATATTATGTGAAATGTGGAACATTGCTGTCTTTTATATTAAAGTAACTAAAGAAAATGGATTATGTGAATGAAATTATTTTTATCCCCCACAAGATGGCTCTATGAGTACTATCCCAGGGTTTCTAATATCTATTTAAAGATAATAAAATTTTGACATTTATAATCTTTCAACCTGGGAATTTTCAAAGAAGGAAAATCCTTTTCAGGTGGGGACAGAGGGATTTTACTGAAGGGCCTTCTTCGTTAAAGAGCAGTAGAAATGTTTTTTTTCCTTTTGTTAATGGTAACAAACATTCTTTCTGTTGGTGTGTTTAAATATTTTTTTCCCAGACAAAATTTGACACACATTCTTTCTGTTGTGTGTCAAAAAAGAAGAATCAGATGTTTCCACATTTTAAAATAGTTTTTAATAAATTTAACATAGTGCTTCTCAAACTTTAATATGAGTGCAAATTATCTGAGGATCTTGTTAAAATACTGAGCTCAGTAGGTCTTTAGTAGAGCCTGACATTTTGCAGTTTCCACCAGAGCTGCTCAGAAGGGACCACAGGGAGTAGCAAGGGTTAATTCACAAACAAGGGTCCTCCTCCACTGTACCCAGGCTTTCCACATCTCAGTGAAGTGCCATCACAGTGAAGCCTTCCCACAGCTGAAACCGATTCTGTGACCCTGGAGTAGTTTCCTATGGCTGCCATAACAAATTACCACAAACTTAGTGTCTTAAAACAACTGTATTATCTTACAGTTCTGTAGGTTAGAAGTCTGAAACGGGTCTCACTGTGCTAAAATCAAGATATTGGCAGGGCTGTGCTTTTCCGGGGGCGGTAGGGGAGGGTTCGTTTAGTTGGTGTTCCACACTTCCAGAATCTGCCCACAGCTTTTCACTTTTGTGGCCCAATTCCTCCATCTTCTAAGACAACAAAGGTGCATCCTGTCCTTCTTATGTCAGATCTGTCTGACTCACCCTTCTGCCTCCCTCTTCCTGGCTAAAAGCTCAGTGATTTCAAGTCAGCCTTATTCCATCTGCAACCTTGATTCCCTTTTGCCACAGAACAGCATATTCAGACGGATTAGGACATGAACCTCTTTGGGGGCCATTCCATATAACAGAATGTTGGGAAAATATAGGAAAATAGTCAGGGCCCCTCAGATGTTCAGAATCTTCCTGAGCATTTGATGTAAATATGCACAGGTGCCCAGGTGTTCCTTGGTTATTGTCTAATGTAATTGTGCATGTGCACCCAGGTGTCCTGGGTTATGACTTGAGTATAAAGGATGAATGGCTCTGATCCATGGGGCCTCCCCCCCCCACCCCGGGGGGCACAGGGAGGCAACTACTGCTGCTGGAGGCTGTTGCTGTGCTGCTGCCAGTGCCCCCGGGATGCCCTGGAAGGCTGCTGCTGTCACCGCCACTGCTATTGCTGTTGCTGTAAGTTGCTGCTGTTGAGGACTGAGCTCATGTCATCTGCCAACAGCTCCAGGGATCTTTCCCAATTACCTTGCATGGGACCTGCATGTGAAGAGGTGTCTGGGGCACCCAGCCTGGTGTGTGAGTGGTGTGGGGACCCAGTCTGTACAATGGGTTTGAAGGGTCTGAGCCCTAGCCCTGTTGGTAGTTGTGTAGCTTTACACAGACACCACCATGTGATTTAGTATTTTATTTTATCTGTCATTTGTCATATTTCCATCTTTCCCACTAGATTGTAAACTCTTTGAAAGCAGGGCCTGTGCATTATCTATACCCATTTTAGAGACATTTTGAGAACCCTCTAAGTTTTAAACATTATGATATGTGCTGGGGATAAAAAGATGTCCTTAGGAAACATACAGTATGGCACAAATCAGACATGTGCTGGGGATACAAAGATGTCCTTAGGAAACATATAGTATGGCACAAATCAGACATATCATAACCTCTCAGTAAATGTGAGTTGAGTTAAATTATGTCAATAGTCCAGGAATGTCAATAATATAACAGTAAACTTCAGAATAATTTAAATGTGAATACTGCCATTTTTGTAGATCATGCCAAACAAGGTGACAAGGTCATTTTTTTATGGGAGAACTGAACTGATTTTAATACATTAGGCCTTGATATTAGAAGTATCTATAACTTTGTAGGATAAATTCTTTTAACTGATGTAAATAACAAACTTGAGAATATAAGCAAAAAGAGTAGTCCAGTGCATTGAGTTGAAAGGGGGCTAGGAACAGATCTAGAGGCTTCACTGAATGAAATGCTAAAAACATCTGTAGAAACTTAATCTAAAAATTAAAAGTGATAACTATTCCAACCAGGAAACCAAATACCCTGTTATATCCATTAAAGTATCACGTTTCTCTACTGAGGTAGAATATTTTCCCTTTTTAAAACTTGATATTTGGGTAAATATGACTTTAGAGCTGTGTGGAACTATGAAGATCATGATCTCAAAGGTCCATTTCAGCTCTAAAATCCTAAAATGGTTTTATTTTACAGATACAGCTAGTGAAGCCCATAGAGAAATGACTTTTCCAAAGTTGCACAGCAGATGAAAATCAAGGTTAACTGTCTTCCTGTACTTATATTAATTGATAATGCTGAGGATTATCAGAAGGAAAGGAGAAAGAACAATAAAAATGTACAGAGAAGGAGACATTTTACAGTCTGTAAGAGAGCATACTGTTTTGATCAGCAAAGCTAATGGGATATACTCCTAACTGCTGATAGCTTTGCCTGGCCATAACCTTCAATCTAGTCTTATTTCCTCCTGGATGGTTTTCTCTAAATCACATTTTCTAACTAATTGGGAATGGCTGACAATATGAAAATAGTCACCATTTTTATTATCAAATAACTAAATTAATTTCTCCACATCATTAAATTGATTAGTGCTTCCTTAATCTTCCATGTAGCATTATTACTGTAACCATTGAGGTAAAATATTTTTAAAAGTCACTAGACTACCATAATGACATATATCAATTACTTATGTGATTGAGATGGATTTTTTTTTTTTTTGTCTTTTTGTCTTTTTTTCCGTGTCCGGCAACGGATCGCAACCCTCAGTGTTGCCCCCGTACCGGACCGGGGACCGGCAACGGGATCGCAACCCTCGGTGTCGCTCCCGTGCCTCGCTCAGCCAGTGAGTGGGAACCGGTCTGTATGTGGGATCCGAACCCTCGGCGGGAGCGCCGCAGCGCTTCCCAAGCGGCGCACTATCCAGTGCGCCACCGGGCCGGCCCAAGATGGATTTTTAAAATACTTGGAATTGATTCTTCGAATTCTTATGTCATGTTGTTTTTCTTTATCTTATAAGTTGTTCTTAAGTTCTACTTACTGTGTCTGAACAGCAGACCATCTTATCAAGAACATTTATTTTTAGAAGACAATATACTTAAAATTTGCTAAGAGAGTAGTTTTTAAGTGTCCTCACCACACACATGCACATGAAAGTAACAGTGAGAGATGATGGATATGTTAATTAGCTTACTGAGGTAATTATTTCACCTTGTATTACCTTTATCAAAACACATTGTACAGCCTAAATATACAATTTTTATATTTCAATTATATCTCACTAAAGATGGAGAAAATTCAGCTTTGCATTTATATGCTTAAAATAAAGATTTTTGTATTTGTAGTATATAAATAACCTGTTAATTCCCATTGAAGAGATTATAATGCTGATTTGCTTGCTGTAGGAAACAGAATTATGAAATAGCCCCCAAAGTCCCACTTCCCTGATGTACACACACCTCCTCTTATTTATGCAGTCAAACACTAGTCCAGGTACTTAGGTACAGCTGTAAAGAATTTTTGAGGTAATTAAGGTCTCAAAGTAGACCTTACAATAGGGAGAGTACCTCAGTGGTCCTGATCCAATCAGGTGACCGCTTAAAAGGCACTGGACTCTTCCTGGTGAAAGAGATTCAAAATGTGAGA